ATAATTAGGGAAGAGATTTGGTTATTGGAGTTGATTAAAGTTCATTGTCCTTTGTCTATAACATTGGTAATAGCACCTATTATTAAAATTATTGATGCTGTGGCCTGACTTAAGAAATATTTGTATGCAGCTTCTGTTGACCAGGGGTTTACTTTGTTAATTAAAATAAGAATAATGTCTAGTATGCTTATTTCTAATCCTACTCAGATGTGTAGTCAGAGGGAACTAAATAGTGTAATAAAAGTTCCTGAAAATATGGTGAGATAAATGGTAGCAGAAATTAAGGGGTTTATTAGTATGGGAAAGATACAAACTAACATTATAGGGTATGGGCCTGATAGCTTATTTAACTGACTTTACTAGTAGAACATGGTGTATCAGGTAGCACGAAGAATTTTGGATTCTTAGGGTTACATGCAAATCCTGTGGTTCTAGAAATAAGAGGATTTAAACCTCTGTTATTTCCTCTATCAAAGTAACTCTCATGTTGTCACATTTCTTTAGGTTTGAGGGATACATATGCTACAATAATGGGTGGGTGAGCTAATGTTGGGGTGAGAAGTTTTTTGATAATAAGTGCATGAGTTGGTCATATCAGAATCTTGGGTATGATGATCGAATTCATAAGAATATTGAAGATTAAGGTCTTTAGGGCAAAACTAAAAGTGAAGATTTCAGTGATTGGTGGGTTGAAGAGTGCCTCTATAAAAGAGATGTAGTTAAACCTTTTATTATAATAATATTGGTGTATTTGGCTACAAAAAAATAGAGCAAAGGGGCCCACAGTATATTCTACATTGAATCCTGATACGTGTTCTGATTTCCTTCTATCAGGTCAAAAGTAGCTAGTGTTGAGATAAGTCATATTATTGCTAAGGGTCACGTTGGCAGTAGTACTCATATAAATAGTTGAGTTGTGATTAGGGTTGATAGAGTAGATGATCCATGTATAAGCAGGACAGATAGTAGAATAATGGCTGGAGTACTTCATAGGAGATGGTTTGGACTACAGCTCGTAGTGCTCCGATTAAGGCATATTTGGAGTCATCCTGATTATAAGATCGCATATCCAGCTAAGCTTGATGTTGCAAGGATAAAGAGTATTCCTATGTTTATATTCGTGAGGGTTGTGGCATGGGTAGGGAATTCATATTGTAAATGCCAGAGTAAGGGCTAGGGAGGGAGCAATAATAAATAAAATGATGGAAGATGTTAGAGGTTTGAGTGGCTTTCTATTAAGTAATTTTACTGTATCAGCAAACATTTGAAGTAAGCCATAGGGTCCTACAACATTTGGGCCTTTTTGAAGTTGTGTGTAACCCAGCATTTTTTGTTCTGTTAGAGTTAAGAAAGCCATGGCTAATAAGAGTGGGACAATCAGGAGGAGTAAGTCTACTAAAAACATACATGTTAAGAAGAGGAGTTGAACCTCTGGGTAATGAAGTTTGATGTCTTTTGCAATTGCCACGTTCTGCCATCTTGACAAATTCTGTTCTAGGGCAGGGTGGGTAATAATTTACTAGAATTAGATTATTTCCTCTATTATCTTAAGGAGTGCATGTAGAATTGGCCTTATTTCTCTTGTCCTCTCATCCAGGGAGAAGTATTTAATAGATAGAAACCAACCTGGATTTCTCTGGTCTGAGCTCAGATCACATAGGACTTTAATTGTTGAACAAAGGAACCATTAATATTGGTTATACCATTTGGACGTCCTGATCCAATATCAAGGTAGTAAACCTTAACTGTGGATATGACCTCTTAACTGGGAATATGTAGCGCCTAATTTCCACTATATAGGCTACACCTTGACCTAACATTTTTATGTAACATTCTTGTGCTCACTATGAGGCCTTGTGAGGTTTTGCTGGAGGAGGTGGCACATAGGGTGATATTGCGAAAGGAGGTAAGGTATATCGGGGTTTATTGACCATACGACAGGCTCCTCTTGAAGGATATAAAGCACCTCAAGTCCTTTGAGTTTTAAGCTGTTGCTGGTAGTACCCTGGTGAATAATCTCATTTGTTGATTACTTATGTTTAGGGTAAGCATAGTGGGATACCTAATCCCAGTTTGGGCCTTAGGTATCGTGAATTCATATGTTTTAAGACTACTTTTATATACTATTTTTATTATCACTAGGGCTTTCTACATCTTAGTAAAGGGTCAGTCTTTTTTAGTTGTTTTCTTAATCATGCTTTATGCCATATTATATTTACTAGGGTAATTGTATGACTGTTGTGGCTGTCATGAAATTTCCTACCCTCTTATTGTATAGCTGAGTCAAACAATCGTTTACATGCTTAATTTTAATTACTGCTGTGTCCTGTGGGGGTGTGGTTGAGAAAGGCTTTATGAGCTATATTATTTAGTGAAGCTGATACCTGCACCTTTTGATTGTATTTTGATATAGAGGACATTCTCATTGGGGTGAGGACACTTGCATGTGTAAGTTTACCATAAGCCAATAAAAAGGCTAGGACCAAACCTCTGTGTTTATGGAGTATGTGTGTATACATGTAGACACACACACACACACAAACACACACACAAACACACACTCATCTAAGCATTTTCAGTGCTTTGCTTTATTTAAGCTATATTAACAGATCATGGGCTTGTTCGCGCATTTCTTATATAGGGTGTGTTAAATTGTTATGTAAGTATCATAGTATTAACCAATATAGATGTAGTAGGGTTTTGGTTTTAGGTAAATTGTTTTTTGTAGTTTGTTAATGTTAATTTGGTATTGGGATGGGAGTGGTTTAAAGGTGATTATGTGGACATACTGAGATAAAAGTTAATGTTTAGGCCATGTAAGAACTGTGTAATTTAGGGTTAAAGGTAAAGGTGGGTTGGATTTTAATTTATGTAAGAGTTGACTTGATGCTGGGAACTCTTGTCAGTTTGTGTATTGAAAGATTTTTTGTCCATCAAGCATGAATATATTAACACCTTATAGTTAATATGCTAGATGGAAATATTGACTTAGAAGTGCAGCTACAATTCAATTGACTGCATTGGGGCCTCTGACCACCAGTGGGGAGTGAAAGCATATCCCCAAAATAAAACCACTGAAGTCATGACAGTGCAGTTATATTGGGTCATGGGCTCAAATGGCATTAATCCATTGTGATGTCTTATTTAAGGGGAATGAGCTGGTGAGTTTACAAGTTATGGCCCTGAGGTAGAGCCAGATGCCAGATATAGTTCCATGTTACCTATCCCCAAGTTTTATGGGATCAGAGCCAGAAGAGGGATGTGAATTGGGCAGGCTGATGATTTCATGGAGGATGGTAGATTAAGAGACCATCATTGGAAGGGGATAGTCATTAGGACGAGGAAGGTTGATGACAGAATGGGGCATATATCACTAGTGAATTTAATGTGTCTTGCAGTATTAGAATTGCTGTTGGGTGGGTATATTCATGTTCTTGAAAGGTTGGTGATTTTGGAGCTTAAATGTTATGTTTGATATAGTATATGAGTATTGTTTGTACTTGCTTACACGTATGGATTAGGTAATAATGTTGACTAAACACATAATGTACTGTGTACTGTTGAGGATTATTTATGGGTTGTACATTATTAATGAGGTCAAGCATTAATGCACAGTATACATAGGAGTTATTAGATTTATAGCTGAGTGGAGAGTAGTCCCATAGGAATCAAATTTGGAGTAAGTGGTCAAGTATTAATGTAAGGGGTAGTTTAAGTTAGTAATACCAGCTTTGGGAGTTGAAGGTGGAATTTGTAATTTCTTCCCTGAATATTGCTCTAAGAAGATTTAAGGCTTCATAAACTAGACCAAAGTAACATTTATACTATTAGACTTTTCATTTAAGGAGTTTGTTTTCGATTAAACTGATGTTTGGTGAAAAAAGTAGAATAAGAGTGAAATACAAGACAGATGCTAGTTGATTCATAATGATAAATGGATGTTCTATGGTTGGCCTCCAGTTCAAGTCAGAGAAAAGAGGTCGGCAACTAGGACTCAGAAGAAACATTGGCTTAAGGGTCGGAGCCAATGCTTTGTTGTTTAGATACACAGAGGACGATAAATAATATAAGGATTAGGACAGAGAATACTAGTGCGAGGACTCTGCCTGGTTTATTAGAATAGATCTGAGAATAGCATCGGCAAATAGGAAACATCACTGAGGCTTAATGTGGGGAGGAGCATTTAGGGGATTAGTGGGGGTATAATTCTCAGGGTGTCCTAGGAGGTCTGGGGAGAACACGACTAGGACTGTGAAGACTAATCCTAGAGTGAGTAGGCCTGGGACATCTGTAATTGTGTGATATGGGTGAAAGGGAGTTTATTGGAGTCAGAGATGAGTCCAGATGGGTTGCTGGATCCTGCTTCAAAGAGAAAGAGTAAGTGGATTCTTGCTAGGACTTCGATAAGAAATGGTAGAACAAAGTGGAATGTGAAGAATCATGTAGAGTGGCTTTGTCAACTGAGAATCCCCCTCAGATTCGCTCAACTAAGCTGGTTCCAATATAGGGGATAGCAGATGGGAGGTTTAGTGACAGTGGCACCTCAGAAAGGTGTTTGTCCATAGTGTAAAATGTAGCAATGAACACTGCAGCTGTGACTGCAAACAGGAGAGGGACTCCAGTAGTCCATGTTTCAAAGTAAGCGTATGATCCGTAGTAAAGGCCTTGGCCTGCAGGAAGGAATAAGCAAATGAAGAATGTGCCATTTGCATGTATGTATTGAATTAGCCTCTCCAGGTATGAGTTGCAGAGGAGAAAGCTGTTATTGTGTCAGATGAATAGTGTATGGCTAGAAAATGTCCACTGAGAATTTGAATAATAAGGAAGAGCCTTGAAGGGAGCCAAAATTTCATCATGCTGAGATGTTGGATGGTGTTGGGAGATTGATGAATGAGTGGTTAACAGTTTTGATTAAGGGATGGGTTTTGCGGATATTCTTTTTTTTAACATTTTATATCTCTATATTTTTGAAAATCCACCCATGAGAAAGGAGCCAAGAGTCAGTTTCCAACAGGGGGCACGTTCTCATGGAAGTACTGCAAAGCCAAGTCTGTCCACTTCATTTCTTGTTCTTTTGCAGATTCTGTGGTGCCACCGTTGTCTTGTTCAGGTTCAGGAAGTTCATTCAGTGCTATTGCAACATCCTCATTAGGCAGCTTGTCTTCTCGCCAAGCATCATCAATCAAATCCAAGATCCTTTTATCTCTCTGGACCTCACTGTCCATTTTCCCATAGCTTTGATTTTGTCAGATCATAGGCAGGCCGCCACAGCACCCGCTACTTCCAGACCAGATATTCATTTTACACTTAAATTACAATGATGATTTTTCATGTTATTGGTCATGGTTAAATTCCATGTCAAAATAATGACACATATTACATATTTATTAAGTATACTATTTGTTTTAGGATTGTTATCACTAATAAAGTAATAATCCTCTGTTTTTTGATGCCTTTTTATTGACAGACTACTTCAGTTTCTTATGTCAATCATTGCAACTCAGTGAGGTGAGGGTTTATTCAATGTACTTTATATTAGTTTAGGTGAATACAATACCTTTATTTTTTATGTGGTGCAGAGTATCGAACAAGTACCTCATGTCTGCTAGGTGAGCGCTCTACCACTGAGCCACAGCTGCAGATCTTCAACACATTTTTTTTAAAAAATAATCAATTTATTTATTTTTAGTTTCTTTATTTTAATGTGGTGCTGAGTATCGAAAATAGGTCTTCGCACGTGCTAAGCAAGTGCTCTACCGCTGAACCACTACCCCAGCCCCTTCAATGCACTTTTGATGAGCCTCTATCAAATGCTAGGTGCTGTTCTAGGCACTGGGTAAAAGGCAGAAAATAGTAGAAACTGCTGCCTGAAGTTTCGATTCTGATGGGGGAGCTGTATGCCAGGTTTCTCTCCCTGTTTTCTGGAAGGTAAAGACTTCAACCTAGTTCATCATTTATTCCCAATGGTTGTGAAAATTAGTTTAACTCTTTTTACTTCCATCAATTTGGAACCCTAAAATCCAACAAACTTTCTGTTTACCCACATATATATGTATCTCCCTCTAACATAGAAGATACCATTATGGTGAAAACTGTTTTTATTCAGCTGAAGTTATTTGCTATTTATAAAAAATCAAAAGAGGTATATTTATATCATGGCAATTCTTAACATATTGTGTGCTTCTAGGCTCTGAGAATTGGAAAACCAAAAGGTTTTGAAGTTTTGTGTGATGCCACCTGAATTGGAAACCAAGATGAACATAACTGAAGGAGGTCTGTTGCTGTTTTCAGTAAATTCTTATTCATCATGTATGCAGCTTTCAAAGAAAATTGCCAAGTGAGTTGTAATTTTACCATTAAATTCTAGATGGATTATATGATGTAAATTTGACAATCATATATGCAGTGATTGTCAAACTTGAACACAGTTAAGTTGTAGTTCATCTATGTATCATTCACATGAATTAAAGGCTAACCTTTAGATAAACTGTCCCACCTCCCTACATATTCATCCAGCACACATTCATAAGTGCCAGAGATTGTGTTAGATGCTGTATGTTTGTAGAATTATTTTAATATGATGAAAACTGAAGCATATTAGTAAATAAGAAAGATTTCACAGTTTACACTTCAGTGTAATTTTAGATACCTATTAAATTAATATTAAACCCCTGCTCTGTACAATACCTTGATCTAGACATTGGGGGTTAGCAGGGAGCAGGGCAGAAAACTTTCTTACAAAGTTTACATTTACATTTCGGCTGCTTCCCAGATGCCTTAGTTATACATAAAACATAAGTGCAGAGTTTGAGAGTGCACTTAATGCCTATAGATGAAATCTTTTAAAATTGAACAAAATTTTCAATTTTAAAAGAAGCTCATTTTAACAAAATATAAATAGTTAAAATGAAAAGAAGAATAAAAGAAATGGCAATAGAGGGTAAAAGCAGCTCTGGGGTGCAAACAGTTGTAAAGGAGTGCTCCATGGGTGATGCTGGAGAGGGGCCCCTAGGAGCTGCTGGCCTGGAGCTGCCATTGAAGCTTCAGTTTGTCAATGGGAGCCCCCGTGGAGAAACTGACCACTCCCTCCCATTCATGCACAGAGCAGCAAGGAACAGGTTCTACTCTCTGCCATCTTAGATCCAGCCTTGTAAATGGAATATTATTATTTTTTTCTGGTAGATGATTATTAAGGACAAGGAAATGCATCTGATTTTCTCAGGTGGGTTTTGTCTCTTGAACCTTGACTGAGCTTGTTAATTAGTTCTAACAGTTTTCATTGGAAAAGAGTGTAGCATTCTCTATAAAGAGGACTTGTCCTGTGCCAACAGAGGTGGTCCTTCCTTGTTCCTTCCTGGTTTGGATTCCTGTGGTTTCTTTTTCCTCACAGATTCCTCTGTCTGGGGTCTTCAGCACTACAGGGAACAGACATTGCTGCAGTGTGGGCAGCCTCACCTTGGTTGTGATCATACAATGTTTGATGTAGCAGATCCTGTGTGACCTTTATTGTCTTGTGGTGTATTCCTTTTTACCTAATTTTTGGATGATGTCCATCATAAAAAAAAAAGTGTTGTTTTTTTCAGAATCATTTTTCTACTCCTATTGAGATAATATGATTTTTATCTTTCATTCTGTTCATATGATTTATCGTATTGAATTGTGGCATTCTTGCACTCTGGGCTGACTCTCACTTGTTCCTAGTGTATGATTTAGTGAATGTTCTGATGAATTTGCTCTACCAGTATTTTGTTAAGGATTTTTGTGGCTACAGACATGACATATATTGGTCTGTACCTATAGTTTTTCTTGTGGTTTTTGTAATATTACAGAAAATTCACAGTCTAGCCTATCTAAAGCTCATCCAAGTTGTGTTTAGAATGCTGCTTCTCAGACAGGAAAGAGAAAGCTGAGCAGAAGTCCCACCATAATTCCTTTCTGTGAACCTTAACTTGCCCTTCCTTGCTGCTCCATGGGTGAACCCCACACATTGACCAATCACTGTGGGAGGCCAGGCCTTAGCACTCAGCCTGTCACCTGGTACCATTAGTCCTGCACCAAATCCTGTAGGAAAAAGCCAAAGCAGTTTTTTACTTGCATTTATTGCAGAGTTATATCTTTAATGTGTCCTTTATCAAATGAGGTCTTCTCTAGAGACACCCTGAACTCGTCAATGTGTTTCTTCATGTAACAGCTTCCTTGGCTTCTCTCCTTTTGGGCACAGATAGACCTCTCTCAGCAGCCACGGTGTTCCTTTGTGGGTGTGGAGCAGATGTTGCCATCCACTCCTCTACACTACTCCAGTCTGGGCCATTTCAACCAGTGCTGGCAGAAAAAGTACCTAGCTTTCGACATGCTGGATGAAGGAAGGGACACATGCTAATAGACTTGGAAGGGTGCTGCCAGATGATTCTGAGGAGTATCCATGGCCACATCTCCCAGGGGATCTCCTCAGGCCTCCATCTCCTATATTCTCACCAGGGCTGTCCAGCACCAGCCTTAAAACCTTTCCATCAATGGGGACAAGTGACATCTCAGTAATATACAGGTTGACATTCAGAGGTTGAACATCTTTGAGAGTTACTCTGTGCAGTGATTCACTTTTGATTTGCAGGGATTTGTCCTTTGTCTCCCTAGAAAAATGATTGACTCCTGAGGTTCTATGTGTCCCTGGGGTATTAACCTTTTATCAGTCTAGGGTTTTAAGGAACACTTTACAAGTTGTGATTTGTCTAAATATCTGTGTTCTTTTTGTTTTTCCATCAGTTGTCAGTCGTTTCCTTTGTGACTTCTGACCCTTAAGTCAGAAGAAAATATTTTCAATTTCAATGTTATAAAACAAGCTCTACTTTTTACATACAAACTTAGACTTGCTGGTGGCACATAACTCTATCCAAATGACTCACGAGGCTAAGGAAGGAGGATTTGAAGTTGGAGGCCAGTTTTCACAACTTAGATACTCAGGAATGTAGTAAGTGAAAGAACGACTGGACAAGGCTCGTCATCAGAGAAATACCTGTTTATTGAGGAACAGCTTTGCACATTTATAGAGCCGGGGGTGGTTCAACAGAGCAGGATATTGGCACAGGGCGCTTTCTGATTAGTGGATAAGGATCATGAGGGTCAGCAGGGCTCACCCATTGGGCGGCTCTTCCCGCCACTGTCTTGGGGCATGGGGAAGTTAATACCAGAAGAGAAGCACGGTCGGCGCCATCTTTGGAGCAGGGGCGACTCCCAACATTACCCCCTCTTTGTTATTAAATGAGAGTGGGCATCAACTCATTCTGGCTGCTTCCTGCTGAGATGGGGCGGTGTGGGAGAGTCAGAGAGGAGAGAAGTAAGGAGCCCCCATAGGAGGGCAGAGAAGACCAGTATAACTTCAGGAACCAGATCAAGGAAGGTTCCTTGCCACTACAGTTCCATGATGATGTCAGTCCATTCGGTATAGGTCTCAATTGGAGGTATAAGCCAGGCGTCACTAGCCAGAGCTTGTAAGTAGGTGTTCCAGGGACTTATAATGGGCCCATCAGCATGTTGTGAGGTGTTCTCTAGAAGAGCTGGGTGGTTCATCAGTAGCCAGGAGTTGGTAATTCCTAAGGAGAAGCTGGTTAAATGCTTGATTAGAAATTTTACCCACCTGAGTCTGAATGAACTTTATGATAAAGGGAAGGAACAGGCACATAAGGAGGACAACACACAATAGGCCCACTACTGGCCAGATACAAATAAGTAGGGGGGTCTGTAGTAAGGAGGAGAAGGGGATCTGGCTGGAGGGGACCCTTAGGGTAGCCGCCAAGTCAGTGAGTTTGACAATGTTTTCTTCCACAAGGCCTGATTCATTAACATAATAACAGCATTCTTCCCTAAGAAACATACAGGTTCCTCCCTTTTTTGGCCTGAGTAGATCAAGGGCCCTACGATTTTGGAGGGTAACCTGGGCCAGAGAGGTGACCTGCTTTTGTAGGGAGGCCAGGGATTCAGCAGTGGATGTAAGTGCACCTTTAAGAGGGGGCAATCAGTGGTGGCCGCAAGGCGGGTAATTCTGGTGTTTTTGTGAGAATCAGTTTCACTGCCTTGAATCTCCAGATATAGGGAGAAGAAAGGACCCAAGAGGGGCCAGAAATGAGGGGGAGCAGTAGGAGAACCCATTTATGGAACATCCTCAGGTATTGGGCTAACAACGGAGACACAGGAGAGGCAGAGCTTGAGGGGATTTGTGGGGAGGGAT